CCTCAGCGCCAACTCCTACTTCTCCGACCTGCATCTCGTCAAGGTCAGCGAGTCCATTTGCACTAAATCCTTTTAAGTGCATGATTAGCTGTGAGACTCTCACCGCAGATGGACTAATATCGTGTTTTTCTGTGACAGATCCCAAAAGCTGAGATGGCATCAGTGTCAGATTTTCTGGTAAGTCGTACGTTACTGTTGTAAATGCGCTTTGACACTCCACTTAAAATCTCTAATACGTTGTCTATAGTACATGTACTACACTGGAAAGGCAAAAATAGGACTTAATAGTTGCTGCCGGGCTAATATTTCACAGTTATTGATTATTCTTACAGGCTAATGTTTTCCTGACTGTTTTAGATCCCAGTGACCAACCTGTCAGTTTGGCCTTCACCAACGCTGCGGAACAGCTCCTGTATTAATGCAGTGCAGAAGGTGAACGAGTGCACAACTGTGTGGTGAACCACGAGTGCTCAAGTGTGTGACGAAACATTGACGTTGACTCTGCTGTTTCTGCCTTTCCTGCAGGTGAAGTTTGTCATATTTTACACCGGCAGAGGGGAACTCGCAAACGCAACAGTTGACGTAACCCTAGCCGACGTGAATCAGAGTCAGCTGTTGCTCCAGACGCACTCTGTAGAGTTCCAGGTAGAGCCAAAAGAATTAAAAAAAATAATTTTAAACAGTTTAATGTGCCAAGTAATGTCGTTTTTCTCTTTCAGCTGACCAAACCGATTCCCACTCCCGCAATACTGAACCCTGCAGTCGGACTTAAAGTTGGATCTCCTCTCATCGGTCGCTTTTTAAAGGAAGCGATGCCTGTATCCTAACTACAATTTTAAGATTGTATCTTTTAATTTATCTGCCAAGCTTCGAGGAAGTTTGGCTCCTTAACAGTGAGCCAGCTGACCTCACTGGGGGTGTCACAAAGTGGGACCTGTTCCCCTGATACAACCACGCGAGCGCCCATCCTCTTCACGCACAACATCATCACTGGCTGCACATTCAGGTGAGTCTGAATTATTTATTTTTGCCTCTGTTGTCTGTGGTTCTAGTTAGCTTACATTAGGACAAGTGGAGATGTCGCTAAAATAATGAGCAATATCCTCTGCTTTTTTTTTTTAAATTTCCGTGCTACAAGCTCTCCAACCAACGACTGCTCAGAGCTGCGCTCGCAGATTTATGGGATTTTGCAGGGACTCACTACTCCCGATGAGATCGCCATGAGCTCGGGCTCCCAGCCAGACTGGGCGAGAGTCATCACACAGGAGTGTCCCTTCAGCCTGCAGGTATAACCGAAATCTGACCCCCACACACCGTTACAGCTACAGTTACAGTTACAGGTGTCTGCAGCAGCACCTAGTGTCGGTGCTTTGTATCTCCCCCCAGCCAGTTGCAGCAATTCAATTCAGTTTTATTTATATAGCACCAAATCACAACAACAGCTGCCTCAGGTCGCTTTATACTGTAACCCAACAATCAAACCCCCTATGAGCAAGTGCTTAGGTTTCTTCCTGTTCAAAGGGAGTTTTTCCTTCCCACTGTCGCCAAAGTGCTAGCTCATACAAGATCATCTGATTGTTGGGGGTTTCTCTGTATTATTGTGCGGTCTTTACCTTACAATATAAAGTGCCCTGGGGCAGCTGTTGTTGTGATTTGGTGCTCTATAAATAAAACTAACCTGAGTATCTGTACACAGACATGTTTCACAGAGACATTTATGTTGTTCCTTCTCAGGAAACGTGTGAATCAGGCTGTGTCCTCCCTCACTCTCTCTCCATCGAAGTACTGTGGGCTCGCCTGGGTCCCCTCGACCTTCCGCAAAACTACATCCTAGGGGCCAGATACCTATTCCAGTGTCAAAATTTCAAGGTGTGCTCTCTACATCTCACTTTTTTCTCTTTTTTTCTGACAGATTTACCTTTAACATTCCTCTCCTCCTGTCTTTATTTTTTGTTTTCTTTTTCCCCTCAGTGTCCTCTGTCATCCTCTCTCGCTCTGACCACCAGAGTTACGTTTGCTGACAGCACAGTCTACCCAGAACCCCCCAGGGGTTTGCCTCAGCCTTTCTGGAAGTTCCCTTTTGGCTTCTTCACGAGAGGCTCCGCTGAGCTGGACGGCCACATTATTATGAACAGCAGCAGCACAGAGAAGGTCACATGGAGTTTAATGCTGCTCACAGTCATGTCACTAACAGGATTAGAATTCCTCTGCAGGTAACTTGACGGGTAACTGGAGCAGCACTGGAACTCGAGGAAAAGTTTTCTAAAATACCTAATTTATTGTTTCAATTATTTCTCAGAAATAAATACATTTTCACAAGACAGTTTGAGTCATTTTTAGACTGCATCACTGAGGCAAAGAGGCACTGTTTGCACACAGCTCATCATCTCTCCGCGCCTCCTTGTGTCGCTGGTTTCTGTGCGTTTCCTTCTTTTTCTCTGTGAC